GAATCAATAGTACCTCGCGTACAATGCAATTAATACAGATGAAAAAAATATATTATGCTGCCGTAAAAGTACGCAAACGATCAAACACATATGGTTAAAGGCACACTTAGCGTGCGTGTATATCGTTGTATGTCTAATGGTGCCATTCAAATGTGAATCGTGGAACGAACACAAGTAGAATATAAAATAAATTATATATATATATATACATATAGATATATATATACATATAAATATATATATATATGCAATTCATTGAATCAATCGCGCGGTTTGAATGGTGTGCATTGTGTGTATTTCAGACAGTGTATATGGGGCTACGTGCATAATTGTGTTAAACGTGTTATTAGATTACGAGAAAAATATTTCATTCTCATTCTGTGATGACTGTCTGCTGAATACAAGGCGAGATAAGAACAAGAAATGTTTACATGAAGTCTTAAGACTAATGGATTAATAAATTGATTTAGCGAATAAAGATTTAATTAACATTCATTGTACTAATTGCGCAAAAGAGAAAGAGGAAAGGGGAAAAATTAATCTTTAGAGACGTAAAAAAAAACATGCGCGTGTCTCGTTCGTTACGTATGTGAAGAAAAGGCGGACACGATAAATATTCATAACGCGCAAGACAGGATCTTAACATGTTAAAAACGAAAAAAAAAAGAACCGAAAACACGCTGTATCCGAGTTGCGGTGAGAAGAGAACAGTATGATTTGTATACTGTGTATAACTTTAGTCGTTTACCATTGCTTTCGAGAATATATAAGAGTTATGTGTATAAATTATTATGTGTAATTAAACAGAAATCATTTAGTAAATTCTAAGCGCGTATATTATATATTATACATAAATATATAATAAATATATAAAAGAACATATATACATACACAATCATGCATATATGTATATACATATATGTATATACTTACACACACACACACACACGCGCAACGTACACGCACATATGCAGAACTATAAAAAAGCAAAAAGGAAGAGCCAATGTATCCTACAATTGTGTAACTAAAACGATGTGTAAAATGAAAGTATAATTATTAAGGCTATAATGGTACAATAAATACTTACTGTATATCTTACATAAATGACAGATGCCTTTGTGGCAATTGGCTGTCAAGTTCAATTTTTATAGGGCATATACATAGGATGTACCAAAATTCGCGACTCAAAATTCTCTAGCAAGAAAGTTCTCGAAAAATTAAGTAAAAAAGTTATTTATAAATTTTTATTTTAAACATCAATTTTTGAGATAATAAGGATTTAATTATGGTGAATTACTGATTACATTTAGATGGCCCACGAATTGCGTGTGCAATAGAATTAGTGAATGTTGGTAAGCGCTCACTGATACTTACAGGTGACTATCAGTTTATAATTGATCATATTTAAACCATTATATTTCAGAAAATAAAAATTATCGCAAAATAAAAATTTACAAATAACGTTTTCATTTAATTTTTCGAAAACTTTCTTATAGTATTTTGAAAGTTGTGAATTTTAGGACATCATATATACACACACGTACGCGCGCGCGCACACACACACACACGTAATATCGCACATCGTTTTAATCTATCAAACGAGACAGAGAAACAATTTCATTTTTTTACATTTATATTTTCATTATGCAATGCGCCATGACTTTACAAGTGCGAAAAAAGTTTTAGAAATGTACACAAGTACAGAAAGATAAAGAATAATAGCAATGACAAGATAAAATACATTTTTAAATAGATGTTAAATTAAAAGTAACAACTAATTAATTAATTTCCTTTAATATCTAAGGTTGGAATAGAATTCTATATTACTAGAATTGCGAGACTCGATTAGAATTTCAGTCGTTAAATATCTTTGAGTAATTTCACTTTAACCCTCCGCCATATGAATGTTTAAAAACGCAAGCTGCGCTCTGGATTCCAGCGCTGCCAATTCGGTCACAACAGGGGCCATTTGCTGGACATGATCTTTGTAATCAGAACCTGTGAGGTACATACAAATGGTTAATAATTGTTTGTTATAACATAACGAGAAACAATATTACATACCCATCGTCATTCTCTTTTCGCCATATGTGACTTTCCCATCAAACTCGTTCATTGGTACTTTTATGTCTGGACCGACTTGTTGAATCGTCACATTCAAGTGATCCTCAATATCTGCCAAGTACTGTGGAAGTATCAATGATCATCTGTATTAATCGAGTTTTATACGATACAATTATTTTACGGATTATCTTGTTTCGAATCAAAAGTAGACTATACATACTTGAGGTTCATTATACCATGTGCAACAGCCACCTTGATCGGTCAGATTGGTGTTGCTGCAGTTTCTTCCGCGAGAAGAACACCATTCGCCGTGGTACCATACCTTTTCTGGAACGCTACTGACCAAAGAAATAGCCAGACCCATTCTCTCAGCTCTACCAACTCTTCCAATGCGATGCACATAATTAGACTTCTCGTCGGGCAACGTCACATTTATCACTAAAAACAAAAACACGTGTTTATATTTTGGGATGACTTTGTCTGAATAACTACTTACTGAAAGGTAAACCAGTGATATCCAATCCTCTAGCAGCCACGTCGGTGCAAATCAAAAATTTTACTTCCTTGCGTTTAAATTTCTCCAAATTAGCCTTACGTTCTCCGGGCTTTCTGTCTCCGTGTAGACACACGCACGAAAACTGTTGTCCACCGGATTTTTTCAGGTATCTTTCGAGATTATCGCAATCGAGTTTTGTTCTACAGAATATCAATGCTCGATCCATTTTATGTTCTTTGATAGCACGAATGCAGTACTCTCCCTTCAGTATCTTTACACCCTCCGACAACGTACCTATATAGGACGAGTGTAATTATTCGAACTACACTCAATTATTTTTATCGCGCGAGAATAGAATTATTATCTAACGATTACGATAAGTGTCTAACAGGCAATATCATTTGTTCGATTCATCTCGTCTCTTGCATGCACGCCATCAGTTTCTATGTAATTCCTGCAGTTACGCCATAATTTGTCCTTCTGCGGATCTACCATTACTACGATATGATGTACGGTCTCAGGCACTGCATCTTCGCCTTTTAGATCCACCCAAGTTGGAAAATGCATCAAACGTTCCTATTCAAAAGTCCAAATTTGAATGTACGTTATATATTCGCTTATTTATATGTATATACATTATACAATTTATGTTACGTATGAATTATGCAAATACATCGTGGCACTTACGGCCATCTTTTTCACTTCAAATGCGTGTAATGTCGCCGAACACACAATCATTTGCAATCTTTTGCCATCCGACGTAATTTTCGGAATTTGTTTGTGCAGACGATCGATAAGTTCGGTGTAACCCTGTTTTAGTAGTCCGTCAGCTTCGTCCAGCACAAAGAATCTTGAAATATTAATTTACCTCCATAATTAATTTACTCCTATCTGATGTCATTTCTTTGCAGTCAAACGATAAATTACCTGCAGTGCGTCAACAACAAATAACCGCCTTGTATGAGATCCTCTAATCGTCCAGGAGTCCCGACTACTATATCCACGCCAGAATTCAAAACAGCAATCTGCTCTTTTACGCTTATTCCACCGATGACGAGTAACTCTCTGATCGTCGGATCCTTCAAGTGTGTCTTAAACTGAGAGAGAGAAATAGTTATTTAATATTACGTATACAGTCTCGATAACAGATGGTTTATTCAAATTCTCATTCACCTTCTGAATTTGATTGTAAGTTTGTTCAGCTAATTCGCGAGAAGGCTCTATGATGATCGCTTGAGGCGCATTATTTTTTTGTTTACCGCTTTCATTAGACGAACTCTGATTGCTATTAACAGTATTGAACTTGACAAATTCTTTTGGAGCCGAAGACACAGCCACATAGTCATTTGGAGGCGAATGCTTAAACGGTTGCGCTCCAAAATTAAAGGCCATTTCGGCGTTTTTCAATACAACAGCTGGATAATAAGTCTGCGATTTTTGCTGTGCATTTAATATAAACGCGACACCCAAATCCATGCCATTCTTGGTAAATTTTATTTCGCCTTTCACCAAATCTAGAAAACATCCAATCACATCGTGCATTCCAAAGGCCTCTCCATAGTTATCAAATTGTTTCGCATTTGATTTCTTTCCTGTACCACCAAATCCATAACCAAATTTGTCTGTTCCTAAATCTAAGGCAGCCTGTTCCAAGAACAACATTTTCTGTATTATTCTTTCTCACAAGAAAATTTGAAGTGATAATTGTTTAATTTATGAAAATACCTGAGAAGTAGACCAGCCTATTCGGCATAAACCTTCGTCGGTGACTGTTGCTTCGAAAAAATACTTGCCACTTCCCGATACTCCTTTATTTGCACGGCAACCATGCCATTCCTTTTGTTCTCTACTCTGACATCTTAAACCATCCGTTGTTACTGCCATGGCTCGTCCTCTATCAAACAGACTCAGACCCCAATGCGTCGCTATAAGATATTTAATTATTTCTATTATTTTATCAACAAACTTTACAAATTTTTACTTTTGTCAAAATTGAATACACACGTTGTTGAACTACAGCTCCAGTAGCTCCTTTCCCAGATTCCAAATCTTTAAGGGTCTCCCAAACTATTTGTAAAATAGGCAAACAGAAAGCACCAGTTTTCCCACTACCAGTTTCTGCGGCCATGAGTACATCGCCACCACCCAAAATCAATGGGATAGCTTCAGCTTGAACATCTGTCGGTAGTCTATAATTCGCATTTTTTTAAAATGATGTTTTTTTTTCTTCTCGGACACATGACATTTTTTAATTAAATCATAAAGTTACATTACGAAATAGCCCATCTTTACTTACGTCCATTCCATTTCATCAACTGCTTTGCCTATTTCCGGCAAAACGCCCATTTCTAAAAACATAAAAGAGATCTCATTCAAAATGATATAACAATTGTTAGGCAAACTGACATAACTAAACTGACATTTTACACAAGCTGAAGCTTACAAGTAACTTGTTAAAAACGTCATACCTTCGAAAGCAGTCATTCTTTTTCAATTGTTTTTCTTGTTATGTATAAAAATATGAAACAATTTAAAAAAAATTAGAATAATGATATTAATAAACGTATGCCACAACCGCCGACAACCGGTCCGTCCCACCACAGTCCGTGTGAGTCCGTGAGTATCCCAAGACTCTAGCTCTAGACTCGAGATTTCTCGAGAATCTTGAATAGGTTAGATCATATTAAACTTGGTGGTGTTATCATCAGATGACTCTGTTCATTATCCAATAGAAAAACATGTTTCCTAGGAACTTTAGCTCGAAATAAATTTTTAAAGAAAGAGAAACATAAAGTGTGTTAAACAAGGAAAGATCAGTACCAATTTCATGACGCGAAACAGGCCGGTATTCATAGTTTTTTCTTGCATTTAAAACTGTCTTAGGCCGTGGTCCGAATCATGCTGACAACGCTCATGAGCATTGTTTGTCTTCGTTTAACATTTGACAAACAACAAGGATGAAATGATTTTTAAGCGTTATGAGCGTGTATCGGACCGCGGCCTTAAATACAATCTTAAGATGTCATAAGTCAATCCGAGGACTATACTAGCATCTTAAGACAGTTTTAAAATAAAAACGGATTATGAATATCGCCCCATGTCTAGCATTTCACAGTTGGCAGCTCTTAGGCTTTTATCGACATTCATAAAACAGAGAGGTCGGAGATTTATAGCGTATTCGATTTACTGACTCGACCCGACTCCGAGTCAATAGTCTGTTCTGTTTAGCTGCAAAAGAAGAGCTAAATTGTGTAAGAAATGCAACTAAAAAGAACAGACTGTTGACTCAGAGTCGGTCGAGTCAGTAATCGAATACGTTATTAGAGAAAGAAGGTTGCAAACTGTACACACCATAGGTCTGTTTTTTATTGTCGCGCTTTCTGAACTAGTACACACAGTGCAATAAGTTGAAGTGAAACAAATATACGTTTGTTTCACTTTAACTTATTGCACTGGTTCAGAGTGCAGCAATAAAAAACAGACCAAAAGGCCCGTCTACAATACACGGAGTAAGAAGTAAGAGTAAGAAATTGACCAATCACAGTCGAATGTGAGAAGAATAATCGACTGTGATTGGTCAATTTCTTACTCTTACTTCTTACTCCGTGTATTGTAGACGGGCCTTAATGTTATCCTTCCACTGTGCACATGTCTGACTGTGTCCTTACTGGAAAACATCCCTATATTCAATTGCGAATCGCATGGAATCGCGGTTAATACAGTATTTGCAGGATTTGCAGTATTTAGTAGTCGGTTACAGTAAGTAGGTGTGTGGATGTTTTGTATCCACTGTCCAAGCAGGCTTCTATTGAATGTAAGATTTACGAAGCCGTATTCTCTCATATCGATAATTTAATTAATGAAACTTAGCGATAGCATGAGTAATAACAATAACTCTCTCTTTGAGCGATATTGTAATTCTGCACAAGTAATTTAATACATAATTATTTAATTATAGTATTATTGTAACATCATTTTTTGTAGATTTTATACAAACTATTGATTAGTATAAGCCTGTAGAAGTAACCAGTTTGTAAAACTATGGATTTCTCAAGTGGAAAGGACAATCATTTGATGTCTATTCAATCCATGGAAGAATCTTATGTGAAAGATTACACTGAAGTAGAAGCCGAGCAGTATTTAAGGGTAAAAGGATCATTCATCACACATGATTTTTTTATAGCCAATTTGTATTTAAAATTATATATATTTTATTTATTTATATGTATATTATTATGAATATAAGTTGAGGTACTTAAAAAGATGTTTATCCTGAAAGAATATAAGAAGAGAAATTATGTCATTTGTTACATTTCTATATTCATTCTAGTACATGAACCAAAGAGATGAAAATAGAAAGAAATGTAATGCAAATATGACAGAAGAATTAGAAGACAGTCTGCAAAGTCTTTATGTAGAAGATCTGGCTAAAGTCTATCGAGAATGCAGTTTTACTTACAATCCAAAATCTAATGATTTATCTATTCTGTCTATGAAGGATAAGATACTCTCAATAATCGAGACGAATTCGGTAGTTGTCATTCAAGGGCCAACTGGCTGTGGAAAGACCACTCAGATTCCACAATTCATTCTCGATGCTAATATTAAGAAGAGACTCAATTGCAATATTATAGGTTTATCTTTTATTTATTAATAGAATATGATAAAAAATTATAGTATATATGTACATAAAAACTATTTAAAAAATTACAATGTTAATATAGTTACGCAACCAAGACGAATTGCTGCTATAAGTATCGCCAAAAGAGTGAGCCAAGAAGGAAATTGGCCTCTTGGTAGCCTTGTAGGCTACCAGGTGGGTATGCAAAAAAAAATCTCGCACGAAACTCGTCTAACTTATTGTACCACTGAAATTCTCCTTCAACATTTGATTCACAATAAACACATGTTGGACTATACTCATGTTATATTAGACGAAATTCATGAACGCGATCAAAATTTGGATTTTCTTCTACTAGTTGTTAAAAGATTATTGCAAACAAATTCAGGACAAGTCAAAGTTATTCTCATGTCAGCAACAATTAATGTAATAAAATTTGCAAAATATTTTTCTTCAATAATAGAAAATGAATTAATCCCGGCGCCAATTATCAAGATTCCTCGGAAGAAAACTTTTGAGATTTGTATATATTATTTGGATGAGATCAAGAATATAGGAAATGTGAGTACAGATTACGAAAAATACTTATTTACAATGTATGATTTGGTGTGTTATATGATATATTATTATTTTAGTATAAATTAAAATTATATATCAATATTACAAGTCTCATAAATTTTTTATAATATAACAAAGATAAATACATAAAATATAAGTATATAATAAATTTGTATTTTATAGATACCAGAAGTATCTGTCATGGAACCAAAAGTCACTCAAGCGATGCTCAATTTTTGCTCACTTATTATCCACGCTCTAGATGAAATTGATATAAATGATAACGAAGAAGATTCAAATTCACCTCAGAGACATGCCGTTCTCATATTTTTACCAGGAATTTATGAAATTGAGGAATTATATAATTATTTGTCGTCAATTTATCATAAGAATAAATTATGGGACCTAACGATTTTGCATTCATTGGCTTCTGACGATAACGAGCAGCGTCGTGTTTTTCAAAAACCACTGGAAGGTTATAGACGCATTATACTTTCCACAAATATTGCTGAAAGCAGTATTACTGTACCAGATGTAAAATATGGTAAATATGCACTTTTATGAATTATATGTTTTCATAATTCTTGGGACAATGAAACTGTTTAATTGGAGAGAGGGGGAGAGAAAGAGAGATAAAAGTATTAAAATATAAAATATGTAAAAATATATAATAAACTAATATAAATGAACGTTATTATTTTATAGTATTTGACTATTGATAAAGTGAAAGAAAGTGATTAATTAATATGTATAATTTATAGTGATAGATTTTTGTCTTACAAAACTGCTGACATTTGATTCCACGACTCATTATCAAAGTTTGCAACTATGTTGGGCGAGTAAAACAAACTGTATACAACGAGCTGGTCGCACGGGTCGTGTAATGGATGGCAGAGTGTATAGATTAGTACCAAAAGCATTTTATGACGTAAGTTACACTATATAAGCATATAATATTACACTACTATTGAAGTATAAGACAAAACTTATAAATAGAATTCAACTTATAAATAGAATTCAAAATCGTATGTTTAATAGAATTTAATAATTAATAAGTAATATAAAGGATTTTACTATAATTTTATTTATATCTTATTGTATATAGTACTTGTTTTAAGATCTACAGGGGATATATACGAGTATAATTTATCAGAGTTCACACACACACACACGTATTAAATTTTTCCTGTATAATACTTATTAATCGCTTTCTTATAAAATTTACAGAATATTTTGGATGACTACTGCGTACCAGAAATACTTCGCGCCCCGCTCGCTAATGTCGTTCTCCGAGCCAAAATCCTTGATCTCGACGAGCCACGTGTCCTTCTTTCACATTCTCTTGATCCACCTACTCTCTCTAATTTGGCAAATACCATTTTGAGCTTAAAAGAAGTCGGGGCCTTGGTAGACGAGGGTGACTCTTTTCAAATGTTTGACGGAAATTTAACCGATCTCGGCAGAGTAATGGCGACTCTTCCGCTCAACATTCGAATTTCGAAATTGATTATGTTGGGGCATATTTTCGGAGTCTTACGAGATGCTATTATTCTGGGAGCCAGTATGGCTATTAAGGATGTCTTCTCTTTGGAGCAATGCCATTCCACTGTTTCCTCTTATACAACTCGGAAAAAATGGGCCTACGGTTCTGATAGTGACTGCATTGCCACTTTAAATGTTTACAAGATGTGGCAGAATGAAAAAGCAAATCGGCGATTAAATTCTTATCAAGCCGAGAGACAATGGGCCCAGAGAAATGGATTCCAAGTAAGAGCCTTGCATGAATTAGATGTTCTAGTGAGCGACATCACCATTAGATTGCAGAAGTTTGGAATTAAAGAGAGTATAGGAGTAAATAAAGTCATCTGGCAAGGTACATTTAATTATTTAACATTTAGTTCTTTTTAAGTCGTTTATTAAATGATTTAATTTTTACTTTTATTTTATTCTATAATTATTTTTAATTATACTTTTCCATTTTATTTCTAGGTGCAGATCGTGAATTCGTGCTTCAAGTTGCTCTTGCTGGAGCTTTCTACCCCAATTATTTTATTAAACGTTTACAAAATCGAGAAATTTATAAAGAAAATATTACAATGACCCTGGGCTCTTTGGATCCTATGAAAACAGTTTATTTAAGAGGTTGGCCAATGAAACAGCCTGGATATTTGTACGCTAAAAGGTTCCAGGAGATTTTTGCCAAACATCAAGGAATTCTAGAAAAACAAATAGAAGTATCTTTTGATGGATCGCAACGTGTTTACGTGCATTTTCGCGAGAGGGAAACCATTGACGATAGTCTTCAGAATATATCAGAGTTGGTTTATCAGGTAATTACCAATTTATTGCTTGCATTATGTAAGTAACATGAACGAAAATAAAGTATACATATATATATATATATATATATATATACACACACATATATGTATATGAAAACAAATATATTAACATAATAATATCTGTAATTAAATTGAACTGTAATATTATGTAAATTAAATTTTATGTAAAAACACATACAGAAAAATATGATTATACAGGGTTGCCACAGACCTGGAAAACCAGGAAAAGTCAGAGAAATTGTATTAGTCATGAAAAACCGGGAGAAGTCAGGGGAAAATGTAAAAAAGTCGGGAATTTTGAAATTTGCTCACAATTTCCTTAAATTGCTCCTACTCTAAATAATTGTTATAATTTCTTAATATTATATCTGATATATTTATAATGAAATGCGTTCAAAATTTGCACACTTTAAACGATTTTAATAAAATAATTAAAATTTATATTTTATTCAGTATTGTTATTAGATCGCTCTTTTTCGTAACTGCATTCTTTTTTCCAATACTAATTAATTTTTTGTTGGATTTGCACCCAAAATTTTAGTATGCTACTAAGCCTTTTTTGCATTGTTTTTAATAATATAGACTAGTTTTCCTACAACTCTTGACTTTAAATGTATTAAAATTTACATATTTTATATTGGAAAGTTTTCCATTTTCATCTGGATAACCTGGAAAAGTCAGGGAATTTTAAAATTTATTTTCTGTGGTAAACCCTGTTATAAAGAAAATATAATATAAATATTGCAAGATACTGATTATAAAACAAGATAACTATTAATTAATACTATATTAGTAACATATTTATTTGTCAGGCTATCATGATGAAGCAATGCAATGTTCCAATCAAAATAAAATTGTTGAATATAAAAGAGGCAAATGAGAAGGCGAAACGTTACAATTTCCATAAATTTGAGCAGAATGTTTTTTTTAAGAAAAATTGTAAAACGCTAGAGAATAATGTTCCTAAAATCAGGTCAAATTTGCCAGGTCTTAATGTAACTTCTATACCTCTGTTTATACAAAACGTAAGGTTTCTTTTGTTTTAATTAATAAAGAATAATGTCCGTATATTAAAGATATATTTATTCTTTTAAATTATATATATATATATATTCTTTTTAAATTGTATGTATTTTTTTTAGATCGTTAGCCCTGGATCTTTCTGGGCAACTCTTGATGATGATATTACTCGTAGTGAATTACGAGTTATAGAAGAAATACTCAATAAACGCCCCTTGAAAAAATTGCTCTCTATCCCAAAAATTTCTACCATAGTCGCTGCTCCCGTAGAAGAGAATGATTCTTTAGCTTACCATCGTGCTATAATTAAGGAATATATTTCAGAAATCGGAGAACTGGTCGATGTTTTCTTTATCGATTACGGTCGTTTCTCTAGAATACGATTTAGTGATCTAAGAAAAATTGATAATACTACAATTTTAGCAATTCCTCCCTTAGCATTTCGTTGCAATTTGGCTTTTTTGCGACCTTCGAATCAACGCAATCATCACGGTCAGTGGTCGGAAAGATCGAAAATTTATTTTATGACACAAATTAAAAAAACCAAGAAGATACTAGGAAAAATTTATTCGATTGTTGATAGCGTTATTAATTTAGAATTGATCGTTGTTAATGAGAAAGAGGAGAACTTTAATGTTAATGAAGCTTTAATTGAGAAAGGATATGCTATAAAGAGAGAAGAAAGCTGTGTGTCACAGCAAAATCATGAATTAAGGGCAAACATTAGTAACATTAATGCAATGTCGATAGAAGAGAAACAGTTTTACGAAGAGAAACAATATGACAAACATAAATTAATGGAAGTAAGTAGATCATTTGAATTTCGTATAAAAATTTATAGTAACTCTACTTTATAGTAACTCTAAGTCGATATAAATTAACATTGCATATACAAAAAAAAATTAATTTTTACTGTGATACTAGTACCCCAAACCACCTAAAGAAGAAGATTGCACCTCCAGCGTAGATCTCCAAGGTCCATTTTCTCCCTTACAAATGGAATTGATTCAGTTGACATTAGGTGGAAGATTGAAAAAGATAAATGTAGATATGAACTCCGTCAATTCTGTCCTTTTGGATGATGATCTTAATCAATCAAGACGTCTTTTAGTTGCCCAAAGCACCACTCAGTCGAATAAAAATTATCTAATACTGAGAAATACCACTTTCTTGCCAAATATTCCTGGACTCGCAGCACTGCTCACGCTGAGTTTTGCACCGCGTATGGAATTAAGATGTAATTCTCGCAGGACTTGTTATACAGGGGCTTTATGCGGTTTGGGTCCAAAGAATAATTTCACTAATCGGGCTATATTTCCCGATCATGACATAGAAATTCAATTTGACGTTGAAATCACGATAGATGATGTAAAAGAGGTATTTATCATCTCTATAAACAATAATCCGATAATTCACAATTTATCATACGATTGCCTATGTATTATGTTAGATCGTTCATTTTCCGCTATTCATATCAAACTCTTCATTAACTTTATTGACAGATTACAATTGTGACCTTTTTCAATTATTACAATAGCAAAATGATAATATTGATAATCAATTTTCACAGATAAATAAATTACGCCACTGGATGAATACTGCAATGCAACTAAATAACTTCAGTGATGAGGATATTATACTTTATCAAAATAAAATCAAACACATTTTACTTGAACTAAAAGAGAAACGAAGACAATCACGAAATCCAGAAGATGACGAGGTCGATCAGCTTAGCGATAAGTGGAATCGCTATAACGGACCATATTTTTTGCCATCCGTTCGAGAAAATGTGAGAAAAGGCGACGTATATCCGCTACATAAGGCGTTAGAATTACGTGAAACAAATGAACAGATGGAGGAAATGCTGATGCATCTGTCACAATTAGAGAGTCTTGCCTATGAGTACGTAGATATTTGTATTTTCATGTATATTATTAGAATTATATTTTATGTATTTTCTTTCTTTTTTCGTCAGAGATGCAAGTGTAGTGGGAAAAGTGGCTGCTTTTTGTAAATTATGTGGAACGGAAACGTTCGGCCTATTGCAGCTACGTAATCATCTTCATTCAGAGCAACATGCAGAGAATGAGAAACTGTTGCGCCGTCAACTACATTATGAGATTGCAGTATAATTTTTTTAATTTGGAGTCTCGTCAATCTTCGATCCTATTTCAAAATACGAAAAAATATTCTTGCATATTATTTTTTACTCGCTTCATTCTATGGATTATGTATAACAATTATACATGCAACGAACGTACAGTGAAGACAATTCTGATTTAAAGAAATGCTGTCTCAGTATAAAAGAATATTCATAAAATAGAAACAATCTATTATATTTAATATTTGAAGTATTTTATGTTTATGTACAATAATAATAGTTCTTGGACATGCATACGCGCGCGCGCGAGACAAATAATTTGTAATATTATGAATATATAAAAAAGTTTGTTTATATTTGTTGTTTTCATTTTACATAGATTTTCTGAGACAGAATATTCAGTTTTGTTATTTTTCTAAGTCAGTTATCTTAAAAGAACATTTACACTTATTAAGACATCGTTTCTGTGATCATATATTAGTCACTTTGTCCAAGTATGATTTCTATATTTTATTTTTTTCTTTAACTGTGTGAATTTAGGTTAATTAATTATATTTATATATATCTTAAAAAAGTGGAAAATATGAAATATACCAATAATGTACTGTATGTGATTATTAAGTGGATGCTGGAGTGCTCTGTTTTACCAATGAAGTATGATTAATTTTCCTCGACTCGTTTCTCTTAATTGCACTTACGGATTGAAAAGTCCTTCTCCACAATTAAAGTATCGACAACAACACAGGCTGCAAACTACAATTTAATACGAAAAATGAAAGAAAATTTAAGACTTACAGTTTTGTTATCGGCTTCTGTAGTCGACACATCACAATATGTGCTGCATACAAGAGTTTCAGACTTTACTCGTTTAAAATAAGTAGCTTGCAACCTACAGAAAATCTCGAAAAACAATATTGTGCCCGTAAAAATGAGCTAGGAGCTTTAATATAAGAGGAAAGGGTCGACAAAAATTTCATTCGTATACTACGAATAAATAACGCATAAGGCAATGTTTTTTATTAATGGATTATTGTTGTTTTCCATTATAATAATAATTGAATTTGTATAAGAATTCTATTCTTAAAAATTGATAAAAAATAACAGATGTAGCTTTTTTATATATTTTAAAATTTAAATTAATATTTAACTTTGATTAACGTGAATGGTTACCAGTAATATGATTTTTCACACTCTAGGCATTTGGTAAACAATTATACCATAAAGATGGAATACTTAAATTCTTCTTTTCTCCAACAGTCGCAATTTCCTTACTTTTTTCTTGCTTCCATATGTCTATTATACTTAATTACAAAGATTACAAAGAGAACTCTGCATTGTTAAATCCAATATTTACAATATTTACGTAATACATTACGCCATACGTACTTTTAAATGCACCTGCTAAACATTAACTATACTTCTGTACCTTTTACAAAAAAACAAAAGTACATACTACTACATTTCTTTATTATTTTAGACATTAAAATATAAAAACTGTTATTATTTTAATAAAATAAATAAAGTATTATTACTTTTCTATTTAATTAAAAAATGTTTATTTATATCACTTATTCCACACATACATATATCATATTCCTCTATTTTACAGAACTTTCTTCTGCAAATTTAAAAAAAAGTGGTCAGAAAGAAGCAAACTCGCATAAAAATATACTACTAGTGTATAAACCAAAGACACAAAGTTAGATGTACACAAAAATTTTAAAGTTGTAAAGTTTGATTTATTTACGAAATATCGATAAATAAGAAATGTATAAATAAAAGGTTAAAATGAAATGTTAAATGATATATTTTTAGTTAGTAAGAACACAATGTAAATCGGAAGCCATCCTAAGCCGAAAGGCACACAAGGATTAAAATAAAGTAAATAAAATACTACTAGTATATAAGTAAATTCGACAAGTGGTGTCACTAATAATGTAATATATGTAGTGGAGAAAATTTCATTAAAATTTTAATGAAATTTTTGATCGAATTTACTTATTGCACTAGTGACACTAGTAGTATATTTTTATGCGGGAATTACATTACTACTAGTATACTAATCACTTTATTTTTTTTTTTACTTTAAAAAAGAGAAACCGATATAGTAATATATTTCCAAAAAAAAATGTTTTATGTATAATTATGTGTAATTATATAAAAATATGTAAAATTATATATAGTTATGTAAAAAATTGACATATTTTATATATAATTATACATAATTATATAATAAAATTTTTCAATATATATAACATTTTTTCCCGTTCTAATACACATTGTGTGTTCACATTTACGGTCTTAAAAATTCTTTGTTTAATATATTTCTCAATTGTGTTGCTTTTATATGTGTAATAAAATTTATATAGCGATGTATAATAATATTGATATAATAAATTCATACACGTAAGAATCTGTATTACCCAGTAAGTAACATCATATAGTTCATATTTTGAAAATCATCTGATCAGATGTCGCTATCATCGATGACACGCCATAAAACACTTTCAACATAGATGTTCTATTCGAATCGCACTATTGTTGAAAGAATCCCTCTGATGAGTTCTGAACAGAGATGCCAATTCTGTTATGCCTCCGGCACACCAGCGCGATGTTCGTCGCGCGCGACACGCGATATCCAATGAGTGTACAGCTTTACCGATGTTCTCATTCTAAAGGTATACTCTCATTGGATATCGTGTGTCGCGCGCGACGAACATCGCGCTGGTGTGCCGGAGCCATTAGTGTTTACGAGATCCCGACTAGCGCCATCGGTCGGCGACCTGGCGCAACCGGTAGGACACACATAAGCACAAGCTCGTGTACGTGTGAAGCGGGGAGCACAGACTCTTGCATAACGCATAACACGTAATGCATAAGAATATGTACCAATCGAAGTTCTCCGTTTCTTTCCCTTCCATGTAATAGAGAACTCTGGTTGGTTCAATTTCTTATGCCTCATGTGTTATGCGTTATGCAAGAGTCTGTGCTCTCCGCTTGACTCTGGTAGCAGAAGTTCTACGAAAGAGTTTACACGTACACGAGCTTGTGCTTATGTGTGTGCTACTGATTGCGCCAGACCGCCGACCGATGACACTAGTCGCGATGTCGTAAACCGTAACAGAATTGGCATTTCTGGTTCTGAAGAACTACTCGACCTTGGCGGACGCGCTTTGGACGGACCGGGTGCATTCAATTTAAAATTTTTGAGTGTGGCCGACTCTGACTGTGCATTTGATTCCTCCGCGGATGGTTCGTCTCTCATTCGTTCGTTCCGACGCGCGTTATTTCGGCGTGACGACATCGTAGACGCAGGCGCCTGATGTGCGT